CAACAAAATAGGATTGAGTTTGAATTCATATAAGATCATGACCCAATCCATTTGCACCTCTATCTTTAGGTTAGCCATAAAGTCGTGTTTACACCAACTTAAACAAGTTACCTTATGAATTTCCATACATCTTTTTATCACCAAAACTTAAATTTTGTGGCTTTCATGCTTCTTTATTCTTTACCAAATAGAACAGGAAAGATCATGACTCCTACTATCACACCACAAAGAGCCATCAGACCCAAACCTACTACAAAAATAGGGTTTTGGAATATATGGATCTATTTTGGGTTACTCACTCAACCTTAATTGGAAAAGGTTGTGTATAAATAGGAGATCTCATGTTGGTCTATTTGACAAGTTTATGTAAAAGTACCTTAATTTTTACTAATTTGTCACTGATGCTGCGCAATCCGGGCACTCCTAGCTGGCAGTTGACTGGCTCTTCGCTGGCGACGGACGGTACCTGAGAAGAAGACGGTGAAGGATTCCCGGGGGACTTGCCCGGTGGGAATACTCTGATGCTTAAGTTAGAACGCTGAAAGAAATAGTAAATAGTGCAAAGAAGGCTAAGAGTGCAGGTCGCGCTAGATCACTGAATTAGCTCGAGAGAAAGTTTGAATAAGTTCAAGATGTTCAAGATAAGATATATGATATATGATATAAGATACTTTTTCCCCTTCAACCATGGGACTCTTAAATATGACCGTTCTTGTCAAATCAGGCGTAACTGCCACTGGACCTCTACCGCAGCCGTTATCTGCCAGGACTGCGCAGGTGACCGTTGTAGAGTACTACCCAATCGGATGAGTGACATGTCCCGGAAGGACAGACACGCCACCATCTGTCAAGAGACGTGGGTGCAATCTATCGGGCTAGCAGGGACTGTGTCGCCAGTCAGGAGACGTGGTGTAATCTGACGGGTACAGTCTTGTTAGATAGAAGCTTCTTGAAAACATCGCGTCGCTTAGAAGCGAGCTGCTTTGTAGCGAGCTATCCCATAGCGAGTTGCCTTGTAGCGAGCTATTCTGTAGCGAGTTGCCTTGTAGCGAGCTATTCTGTAGCGAGTTTCCTTGTAGCGAGCTATTCTGTCGCGAACTACCTTGTAGCGAGCTCCCAGGGGTACTTCGAGGTGATTCCTCTTGAGGTTGCCCTTGAGACAGTTTTTCTGCCTAAGTATTGGAGCGAGCTGGTTATCCTAGCTCATGAGCTGGGATAGACTTGCCTTGGAGTATTCCCTTTCAATACATCAGGGGTCCTCGAGCTCGCACTGTAGCGAGCTGTGACGTAGCGAGCTGTCTTGCGGGCTCGTTACTTAGTCACGGTGAGGATGTTGTGCTGAGCTGTTACTTGTGCTGAGTCATGTCCACGTGTCACCATCCCAAGGGGTCGGGTCAAATCACCCTCCATCAATTGCCCCCCACTCCTCGGGCTAAGGGTGCTACCTTAGCGTGAGAAGTTCATGAAGCGTGATGGGTGGATTTGACCCGAAGTTCAAACTTGATTGACTACTCGCATTAAATGCGCGCACAGAAGTCAAGGGGTCTCTGGACCTTTTGAATGCCAAAAAGAACATGCAAAAGCGGCTCTCAGTTCTGGAAGACATGCAGCCGTCATTACCTCAATCATGGGAGACGTGCAGCCAGTCTCGTTTCAGCTTCAGGAGGCGTGCGGTCAACTTGATTGTGAACCGTCATATTCGTTTTAATTTGAGCCGTCGATTTGAGGGCACGATGGCTATAAATAGGAGGGCCTCAGGCCTCATTGCTTTTTACGCTAACTTGCCTTGCCTTCGGATTCTGAGGACGCGTCTTCATCTAGCTACCCGAGCTCTTCTTTTGTTTACACCATCTTTTTGGTTTTTCCCTAGTGAGTCTTATCATTTTGTCAGTATGTCTGGGTATCCGTACCACGTCTTTTTTCGGGGTGACGACCAAGATGACGCCCCCTCGAGCTCAGGGGGAGCTTGGGAGCAGGCCCCGGAAGCTCGGGAGGCTTCTGGCGAGACTACTTCTACCTCTCGGGGCAAGGAGCCCGACAGCTTTGGTCCTTCCTCCATCTCCATGGAGAGACTTAGGTCCTTAGTCCTTCAATTTAACCTCCCTAGAGACCTTGTCTATAGTCTCCCTTCCGGCAACTATCCCTGGGAGCTTAGTCCCAATGAGATCGTGATCTTCCAGGAACAGCTCGTGGCTAGCCTGCGTCTTCCTCTGCATCCTTTGATAGTGGGGGTTTTGAATCACTTCAACGTCACTATTGACCAGCTTCCCCCCAACTCCATCTGAAATGTAGTTAGGACTATCTCTTTGTTTTATGAGTACTGTCTTCCCCTTAATCTTGACATCCTTTCCACCATTCTGTGCATTAAGAATGCTTCTTCTGGAGTGCCTCCAGAAGGCGTTCCTACTATTTTTCTCCCCACCGCGCCTTCAAGCTCTTCTACGAGCAGCCGAACAGGATCCCGGCCTGGAAGCGGGACTCTTTTTTCTTAGTTCGCAACCCCGAAGGGTGGCCCTTCCCAACTCACTGGAGGGCCGCCATCCAGGATTCTGGGGTTGAGTTGGACCCCGAAGTTCAGAAAACGCTGCAGTCCTGGGCAGCAATTGGCTTCCATTGGTCGGACTACTTGACCGAGGAAAAGCTCGCGCAAGCTGGCTTGAGCCCGGGTAGGTTGCCTTTTAGGTCCTGTAGTGCCTGGTAAGATTTTTTTTTACTGGACTAATACCTTGTGACTTTTGGCAGCCATCATGTCTGGTGTAGACGCACGCCACCTTCTATCCAGCAACCAGAAGTGCAAGGTGAAGATGTCGCGTCCTGACTGAGCTTCCAATTCTGGGGGTGCTGAGTTCGAGTCTGCTGACCCGGCCTTCGCTTCTCCACCACCTGAGGTTCCACCGGTTCCATTTGAGGGAGTTGCCACAGAAGGTGGCACAAAAGAGCCCGAGCTCCTGGCGCAAGGGCAGTTTCCTTTGTCTGGGTCATCCAACCCCTTCCCTTTCCAGCAGTTCCCTACCAGGAACTAGGAGGGTGTTAATGACTACATCGTGGCTGTACGAAAGAGCCGAAGGGCGGTCTGCCATGAGGAGGTCACCAGCTGGGGAGAGATGGACCCCAAGGAGCTCACCAGGTTTGCCTCCGCTCACTGCATGGTGGTAAGTGTCCTTTCTCTTCCTTCTTCTTTTTTTCTTTTCTGAACTTAGTCTCCTGTTGGCAGGTGAACTCCACCATCCACGCCATGGCCCTCCAGACTAACATTCACTCCGGCGATGCTCGTGCTCAGAGGTCAACCGTGCAGAAGCTCCAGGGCAAGCTCGACTGGGCCCGAGGTGAAGTCCTTCAGGCTCAAAAGGGAGGAGGCCCAGGAACTGCTCGTCTGGGACCAGGAGGCGCAGATCGCCCTGCTATCTAAGGAGAGCGCTCGCTACCGGGAGGAGGAGTCGAGGGTGGCAACGGAGAGGGAGCTTCCTCGCTAGCAGGTTTGGGACTTGGAGTCCATGCTTCAGGACCGAACTCGGAACTTTGACACCATGGTGGAGGCCGAGCGGGCTAAGGCGGTGTGGGACTTCAAGGACTCCCAGGAGCATCACGACCTCCAAGTGAAGTATGGCTCGAGCTCCTATCGCTCTAGATTTAAGCTCTGCCGCTGGCTGGTCCGAAAGAAATTCTCCAGGCTCAGCCTCGACGGCATAACCATGAAGGGTCTGGATCTTGAGACGGCGGACCTGGCAGAGGAGGAGGAGCCTGACTCTCTGGAAGAAGATGACGAGGTGGAGGCGGTGGATCCCTGAGGCCGATTGCTCTTCTGCTTTTCTTCTCTGATGAATTCCGGTGGTTCCTGGGTGTCAGAACCCGGTTTTAAATATCTTTTTCTTGGACGGTTGGGCCCTTATTTGCTTTTGTTGAACTCTTCCCGGGCTGTTAAGCCTTGTTTTTTATTTATATAAACTAGTAATGGAATTTTTATCTTCTTCTACTAAGTATGGTGTGCTCTTTACTTTCTACCGAAGCGATTTTATCACCCGCCTATTAGAGCTACATACCCGAAGTAGGATTTTTCGGTAGTTGTTACCCCGAGCTATCCCTTGATGCTTGAGATATTTTTATAGTATACCCCGAAGTAGTTATCATGCATGCTCGAACTGTATCTTCACAGGTCATTCCTCATTGGGTTCAACTGGTATACTGAGACGAGCTACACTCCATAGGGTTCACCCCCGAGCTGCCCACGCCTCTGGTACCAATACTTAGCCTTTACCAGTGAAGTGGTTAGGTCTTTCACAGTGCTGAGGTCTTAGTTAGCTCGGTGTTTTACCCCTTAGGCCGAGGGAGTGACTTATAGTCCACTCTTGGAGTTTGCCCATGCCATGGAGGCAACTGGGTCTTATAGCGCCGAGGTCTACGTTAGCTCGGCATTTTGGCCCTTATGCTTTGAGAGCGACTCGTGGTCTACTCAGTAGTTCGCCCATGCCATGGAGGCGACTGGGTCTTATTGCGTTGAGGTCTACGTTAGCTCGACATTT